GCCATGCTCTACCAACTGAGCCACGCGGGACCAGTTAGGGTGAAGTGCCTTGCTCAAAGGCACATTGACAGATTTTTCACCTTGTTGGCTTGGGGATTTGAATTGGCGACCGTGGGAGGGAGGGAGGGAGGGAGGGAGGGGAGGGAGGTTGTATATAAACTGGATCTATAAATAAAATGTATGATAATAAAAAATGTTAAATATGTTTATTTATTATTTTTATCTGTAATCAAAAACGCTATATAAATTAAATGTATTATTGTTATTATTATTATTGTATATATTTTTTTACTGCTACTGCCTCTTTACCATATCTACACCATTAATTAGATTGAGAACAGACACAGTGGAACACACAGTACTATATCGACGCTGCTAAAAGGGATGCGATTTCCTGCTTTTCTGAAGTAATTTTATTCATCCATAATTTAAATGGACATACCCTTTAAGGGATACTGCAAGGTTCTGGCAATTACAATAATAATAAATATCGCACTCCATGCCTTTAATTTGTATAGTGCTTTTCATTACAGTGTTATCTCAAAGCTCTACAAAAATACAAATCATGATAATAAAAATAAAAAATGCAATGTCAACATCATACATTTAGAATCAAGGCAGGAAATAGCAATAATACATCCTAAAAGGACTTTCCAGATTAGGACTAGAAGAAAGACCGTCTGTGGAAATGTTTTGTAAGGCCCGTTTTTAAAAGTTCTGATTGATGGAGCGCCTCTCAGATGGTCAGGGAGAGCATTCCATAGGCGAGGGGGCAAGTGAGCAGAAGGCACGGTCACCCCATAGTACGGAGATGTGTCTTGGGGGGCTTGAAGCAGTAGGGAGCGGAAGGCACGGTCACCCCATAGTACGGAGACGTGTCTTGGGGGGCTTGAAGCAGTAGGGAGTGGAAGGCACGGTCACCCCATAGTACGGAGACGTGTCTTGGGGGGCTTGAAGCAGTAGGGAGCGGCTGGAGCGGAGAGTGCGAGGTGGCTCGTTGATAGGAATGACGTCCCTGATGTAGGTGGAGCGGAGAGTGCGAGGTGGCTCGTTGATAGGAATGACGTCCCTGATGTAGGTGGGACTCAATCCATTCAACGCTTTAAACACTAGGAGGAGGATTTGAAAGTGAATCCTCTAGTTGACCGGTAGCCACAGGACTTCAGCAGGGATGGTTGTGATGTGGGCTGACTTCCTGGTCCTGGTCAGGACTCGGACAGCACTATTCTGGAGAAGTTGTAGCCTCTGAAGTGATTTAAGGCCTCCGAGTAGAGCGGCAGGTAGCTTTTAGTGGTTAAGAGCGTTGTGCCAGTAACCGAAAGGTCGCTGGTTCTAATCCCCGAGCTGACTAGGTGAAAAATCTGTCGATGTGCCCTAGAGCGTTGCCGTAGTCGATCCGGGAGAAGATGAAGGCATGGACGAGTTTCTCTGCATCTGGCTGGGAGAGCGATGGTTTGAGCCGGGCGATGTTTCTTAGATAGAACAATTATATCAAACTTGACCCCCCAATGTTGGAGATGAGAGAGGACAGATGGATGGCTTGACCGTCAATTTTAGGCCAGATGTTTCCAGCAGTGGTGACCTGCTTGACCCAGTAAGCATAGCCTCAGTGTCGCTGCTGTTCAGCTGGAGGAAGTTCTCTTTCATCCCATACCCTGATGTCATCTAGGCAGCTGCTGAGTTTTCCTGAGATGGTATCTGGCTGGGTGTTAATGTAGACCTGGGGATCATCAGCGTAGCAGTGGATGTTCATGTTCTAGTCTCTGAGGATTTGGCTGAGACGGAGCATGTAGATTAGGAACAGAATAGGTCCCAAAAACGTGACCGCTGTGGGACACCGCATGTGACTGTAGACTCCTCCGATCTGGACACTCCAATGGTGATGTATTGCTTCCTATTGGAGAGGTAGGAGGAGAACCAATTCAGAGCAGTTCCAGAGACACCAGTGTGCTCTCTGAGATGCCGCAGGAGGATGTTGCGGTGTCAAGCATAACTGAGATCTAAGAAGAGGAGGATGCTGGGAGATCCTGTATCCGCAGCCATCAGTAGGTCGTTGGTAACTCTCACCAGAGCTGTTTCGGTGCTGTGCAAGGGCCGGAAGCCAGACTGGAAAACTGTGTACAGCTGATTGGAAGACAGATGGAATTGAAGCTGGTTTGTAGTTGAATAGGATGTCCTGGTCAAGGTTGGGTTTCTTCAGTAAGGGGGTGACTGCAGCTGTTTTGAAGAGTGATGGTACCTCCCCCAGTCAGCAGGGACTTGTTGATGAGGGTGGTGACAAACTGAAGCAGGCTAGATGAGCAGGTTTCGAGTAGGGATGTAGGGACAGGGTCAAGGGAGCAAGTGATGGCCTTCATTTTAAAGATGATTGACTGCACAGCGGTGGATGGGACTTCATGTGAAGCTGCTGAGGGGAGGGGCAGTCTGGGTTGGGGGTGGGGCTCAGGAGGTGGGGTTCAGGTCATCTAAGAGGCCTTGATGTTTGTTCTGACGTTGTCAATCTTTATTCTTGAATCATTCTGAGAAGCAGCGACTGCACTTCTCGGATGAGGCTGCATGATTTTGCAGGGTTGAGAAGACAGTTAATGGTTTGGACCAGGGTCTGGCGTTAGCTTCGTTGTGGAGTAGAAGGCTGATCGTGCTTTAGGGCAGCAGAGTAGCTCGCTTGGTGGTCTTTATAGGCCAGTAGATTGACAGTGAGGCCATCCTTCTCCAACACACTTTTTGTGTGTTTTTTGTTTTGTTTTCGGACGCAAGGATGTTCAGGGTAGTACTCAGAGTGCTGCTGTACAGGTTGACCATGTCATCGAGGGCCAGCTCACTGCAGGCAGACTCAGAGGTGAGCTGGATGTGTTCCTGGAAGAGGGATGGGTCGAAAGGTCCTCTTTGGGCGGTGGAGAGGAGTGGCAGCAGTCAGAGACAGTGTCACAGCCTGGTGGTCAGATAGTTTGAGGACTTCCAAGTCAGAGGCAGGGACAACTCCAGTGAAAATGAGGTGTGTTGTGTGTCCACCGTTGTGGGTGGGGGACATTAACATGTTGCACATAATAATATAATAATATGCCATTTAGCAGACGCGTTTATCCAAAGCGACTTACAGTCATGTGTGCATACATTCTTACATATGGGTGGTCCCGGGGATCGAACCCACTACCCTGGCGTTACAAGCGCCGTGCTCTACCAGCTGAGCTACAGAGGACCACTAGCTGTGCTAATGACTAGCTGGACAGTCCATCAAGTTGAGGAAGTCAGCAGCCAACTCACCCAAAATCAGAATGTTGGAGAGGGTGGGGCATACGGAGGTTAATGGTTCAGAAAACACAGGAATAAAAGAGGTGCTTGTCTTGGGGCGGCAGTAAACAAGGATAAACCCAGGAATAAAAGAGGTGCTTGTCTTGGGGCGGCAGTAAACAAGGATAAACCCAGGAATAAAAGAGGTGCTTGTCTTGGGGCGGCAGTAAACCAGGATACCACTGGGATGATTTGGTTGATTAGATGTAAAAGCAAGGAGCTCAAAAGACTGAAAATCAGCAACAGTCAATGGGTTTCAAATAAAGCAGGCTCTGTATAAAACATTATTTCAAACAATTATCCTGTATTTCTACTTACCCAGAGTCAGATGAACTCGTTATGTCAGCATTGGCTTGCAAAGCAACCTCGAACTTTCTTCACACTGGACACTGAAATTCTCAGTATCTCTTTAAACCAGTTGGCTATAGGTCAATTTATAGATACAAATGATACACAACCTCCCTGCTCGCTCCCTACCACCCTCCCTCCCTGCTCCCTCCCTCCCTCTTCCTCCCTACCTGCTCCCTCCCTCCCTCTTCCTCCCTCCCTGCTCCCTCCCTCTCCCTCCACCTCCCTCCCTCCCCCTCCCTCACTCTTCCTCCCTCGCTGCTCCCTCCCTCTCCCTCCACCTCCCTCCCTCCCTCCCCCTCCCTCACTCCCCATCTCTCCCTCCCTGCTCCCTCCCTCCCCCCTCCCCTCCCTCCTCCCTCCCTCCCTCCCTCCCTCCCTCCCTCCCCTCCCTCCCTCCTCCCTCCCTCCCCCTCCCCCTCCTCCCTCCTCTCCCTCCTCTCCTACCTCCCTCTTCCTCCCTACCTGCTCCCTCCTCTTCCTCCCTCCCTGCTCCCTCCCTCTTCCTCCCTACCTGCTCCCTCCCTCACTCTTCCTCCCTCCCTGCTCCCTCCCTCTCCCTCCACCTCCCTCCCTCCCCCTCCCTCACTCTTCCTCCCCTCACTGCCTCCCTCCCTCTCCCTCCACTCCCTCCCTCCCTCCCCCTCCCTCACTCCCCCTCCTTTCCTCCCTGCTCCCTCCCTCTCCCTCCCTCTCCCCTCCCTGCTCCCCTACCGCCCCTCCCTCTCCCTCCCCCTCCCTTCTCCCTCCCTCTCCCCTCCCCTCCCTCCTCACCTCCCCCATCTCTCCCTCCCTGCTCCCTCCCTCTCCCTCCCTCTCCCTCCCTGCTCCCTACCACCCCCTCCCTTCTCCCCCCCTCCCCCTCCCCCCTTTCTCCCTCCTGCTCCCCTCCCTGCTCCCTCCCCCTCACTCCCTCTCCCTCACTCTCCTCCCTCCCTCACTCCCCCTTCTCCTCCCTGCTTCCTACCCTCCCTACCTCCCTCACTCCCCTCCCCTCTTCTCCCCTCTCCTCCCTCCCTCCCTCCCTCCCTCCTCCCTCCCTCCCTCCCTCCCTCCCTCCCTCCCTCCTCCCTCCCTCCCTGCTCCCTCCCTCCCTCCCCTCCCTCTCCCTTCCTGCAAGCTCCCTCTCCCTCCCTCCCTCTCCCCCTCTCTCCCTCCCTCAACTCCCCCTCCCTCCCCTCTGCTCCCTCCCTCCCCTCTAGTCCCTCCCTCCCCCCCCCCTGCTCCCTACCTCCCTCCCTCCCTCTCCCTATGATTTTACAGAAGTCTGCTGCAAGTCATAAAGATTATGTTAAAGATATCTGCTCAATGTTCTCCCTCCCTACAGGTGCTCAGCCCTCCCTCCCTCCTGCCCGTTCTGCATGGTCATGACCAGTCACCACGCACCCTCCACAGCCCGACTCATCCTATTGGTCCTGCTCACTGTCACTCCACGGCTGACCGCCACCCCTGTGGGGGGGGAGGGAAGGGAGGGGCAGGAGCAGGGGGAGGGGCACTCCAGGACTCACCTCAAAGAGGACAGCCTTATCCTCAGCCCCCTCCATAGCCCTCTAGAAATCAGCCCCAGCCCCCTCCGCTACCCCCTGGACCAGACCCAGGACCGGGAAGAAGACCAGGGACAGAGCCAGGAACAGAGCTATGGTGGCCCCACAGGCATGGACCACGCCCAGGCTCTAGTCTCCATACTACTGGAGGCCCTGGACCAAACCGGGAGAGCACAGACACAGGAGCGAGGAGAGGGGGACCCAGTCCCTTTGCAGGATAGAAGGGGTGAGGAGACAAGGAGAGAGGTTGGGAGAGAGGAGGAGGAGGAGGAGAGGAGGGTGGGGGAGAGAAGGAGAGAGGTTGGGAGAGAGGAGGAGGAGAGGAGGGTGGGGAAGAGAAGGATGGAACAGCTAGGACCAGCACTAATGGCAGCAGCTCTGGGAGAGGAGTTAAGACAGATAGAGGAAGAGGAGGAGAGGGAGGAGAGGAAGAGGTTAGAGGACAGAGGCTGGCTTCTAGAGGGAGAGGGGGACAGAGCTGGTGGAGGGAGTGAGGAGGGAGGACAGCAGAAGGAGGAGGAGGAGGAGGAGGAGGAGGAGGAGGAGGAGGACGAGAAAGGTGGAGAAGCAGGGAGATGGGGAGGTGAGGAGGAGAAAATAGCAGAGGGGAGTAGGAGAGGAGAGGAGGGGAGGCCTAGTGACCCATCTCTTCAGCGGAAGGCTCGGGGCTACTTCCAGAACATAGACCTTGGTCTCCAAGACAACGAGATCCTTCCTCCTCTGAAGGGGTATAAGGCCTACAACACCCAGCTGGCACAAGCTGGCAAGAAGCTGCACTGGCAGGAGGAGCGGGCACGCAACACCCCCCCACTGGGGGGCAACTTCATGGACGACTTTGAGAATGAAGCAGAAGAGGAGGCGGCTCTGTCGATGGTGGAGGAGGAGGCTCGTGCACGTGCAGAGCAGCAGGAGGTGCAAAGGCAGCAGGAGGAGGCGGAGAGAGCCAGAGAGGAGGAGCAGAGACTCGCGGACATCGCCTCTGACATGTTGCTGCAGTACATGGGGAGACAGAAACAGCAGGGGGCGCCGTACCTCGTGGCCAGACAGAAGGCCGGCGCCAACGCCGCTGAAGACAAGCGCTCCGAGGAGGTGGTAACCGACGGCGATGACCTGGACCAGCAGATGATTGACAGGCTGATCGAGATCAGCAGCAAGCTGCACCTGCCGGCCGACGACGTGGTCCAGATCATCTCCAACGTAGAGGAGAAGAAGAAGAAGAAGAAGAGGAAGGAGCTGACGCCGCTTAGTAACCCTGTCGCCCCGCGTTACCGGCCCCTAGTTCCCCCTCCCCTAGCGACGGGCCCCATGTACCACTACACAGCCTCCTCCAACCCCAAGAAGGACCCGTACTACCAGCCCTACAAGAACAAGTGGAACAAGGACAGAGCCAAAGCTAAGGCCTACAAGCAGGACTACTGGTTCAAACCCCACAAACAGAAGGACGTGTGGTTCAAACCCCAGAAAAAGTTCCTAGCCTTCCCCTCCTACCCCTACTACCAGAAACCCTACCGAGCCTACTACCCTGTGTACTTTCCCTACCCCAAACCGCAGTACTACGACAATACTCCCATGGGGGAGGAGCTACCCCACAGCCCGCCCCCGGACTACGAGCTCCGGCCAACCAGGCGCAGACACAGGGCAGGGGGCAGGGTAAGAGGGGGAGGTAGGCATGGCTGGAGACAGCAGCCCCTCCCACAACATCTCCCCTCCTCCCCCTACATCTCCAACTACATCCTGCCACACCCCCGGACATATCAGCCCCTGCCTAAACCCCTCTTCCCCCAGGGCAGGGGCTGGCGCCCCCCATACTACAACCCACCAGGGCCTGGGGGCTTGGGCGTAGCCGGGGGAAGGGTGGGAGGGGACTATGAAGACGACGATGGGCTGGTTCCTCAGCTGGACAGTCAAGAGGAACTGGAGAACTTTATATCCAAAATATACATGAAACGCAGAATGTACTAGAGACACAAGGACAGACAGACACTACCACAGGACAAAGGGACCAAACAGGGGAGGGGAGGGAGGGAGGGAGGATGGGAGGGGGGAGGGAGGAGGGAGGGAGGGAGGGGGGAGGGGGGGAGGGAGGGGGGAGGGGGGAGGGAGGGAGTAATAGAAGAAGGCTGGATGAGAGAGAGAAGAAAGAGTGATAGATGTTCTGTTGTTTGTTTTTCACTGTTTTTTTTCTGTTGTCGTTTTGGTTTATTTGTGAGCAGTGAAGGAAGGGAGGGAGGAGGAGCGGGAGAGCTTGACATTGTGAGTCAGAACTTCCGGTCGGTCCGGAGCAGGGGAGCTGCTGGCTGTCTGCTTTCATTCAGGTCTGTCTCTGACGTTGGGGCACATCCAGAGAGCTGGGGGTTAGAACAAACAACAACATGGTGCCAACAGCGGGAGACTCATGTTTACAGAATCATCTATAGACGGGTTAGCTGACAACGTCACCAAAAGGATGCTCACGCTGCAATGGGGCAGAAATCCATGAGTTGTTGTGATTCAGATGGCTAGCAACAATGACCAGAAGCTGCCATGTGGGGAATCGTAGGTGGCTCGTTTCAGCTCGTTTTATCTTGTTATTGATACCATTTGACAATTTGAGCTGTTTTGACTGATTTCATGCCTATGCTAATATGGCTAAAATTCGCTAGCTAGCTAACCAACAAATGTAACGATGTATTTGAGAGAGAACAAGCCCTCATTGTGCAAATATATTTATGTTTTCAATAAACATGGAGATGAAGTATAGTTTACATGTCAACAGTCTAAGCCAACCCTGTCTGTTTTGCCACAGACTTGCGCACACCTCGGTTCTGTTGCTAAACAACCAACCCGTCTATAGTGTCTTTTCTTTCAGAGATTCAGGAAAACGTCTGTCGTCGAGTTGTGTTTTTCTGTTGACATCAGCTGATCTTTTACCAAGGTACCAAACACAGTCACAGATCCCAGGACTATTCAGATAGAGGCGTCTTTCTCTCTGCCTGTTCTAATACCAATCCAATACCACAATAATACTGACATAGTAAATCCTTACAGATCCCAAACCCATCCTCTGTAATGTCATACCAATATATTCAACAAGATCTCACAGTTTCACGTCGAAATTTAACGAATTATGGACAAGCTTCTTTTTTTGACCCATTTAGGACTGCGTTCATTCCGCGTGTGTTTTGAGATAGGGTTGAAACAGAAACACCTCGACAGTTAACTGCAAAGGCATTAATTCCGAAAGTTAAGGTTAGGGCTAAGGTTTAGGATAGTGTTAAAACAAGAAAACAAAAACAAAGCTATTTTACATCCAGTAGGTACTGGAGTTGAACCCAGTGTTAGGTAGTATTTCTGGGGCCTATAGTGATGTGAGCACAGAGAGACAGTCGACAGTAACCCTAACCCTAACCCGGCCTCCTCAATTACAACCTGATAGGACCAGTTGTTCGCTACCCAGGGCCAATAGGGCAGGTCAAACACACACAACACACAACACACAACACACACACTTATCCAACCCTCCATCTCACAGCTACTAGAAGTCACTATGTCATATTATTTCCAAAGGATATTGAGAAAGAGGGAAGAGGGGGGAGAGGAGGGGAGGAGGAGAGGAGAGGAGAGGAGAGGAGAGGAGAGGAGAGGAGAGGAGAGGAGAGGAGAGGAGAGGAGAGGAGGGGAGGAGAGGAGGAGGGGAGGGGAGGGGAGGAGGGGAGAGGAGGAGAGGAGGAGGGGAGGAGGGGAGGAGGGGAGAGGAGGAGAGGAGGGGAGGAGGGAAGGAGGGGAGGAGGGGAGGAGGGGAGGGGAGGAGGGGGAGGGAGGGGAGGAGGAGGGGAGGAGGGGAGGGGAGGAGGGGAGGAGGGGAGGAGAGGAGGAGGGGAGGAGGGGAGGAGGAGGGGAGGAGGGGAGGAGGAGGGGAGAGGAGGAGGAGGGGAGGAGGGGAGGAGAGGAGGGGAGGAGGAGGGGGGGAGGAGGGGAGGAGGGGAGGGGGGGAGGGGAGGAGGGGAGGAGAGGAGGAGAGGAGGAGGAGGGGAGGGGAGGAGGGGAGGGGGAGGGGAGGAGGGGAGGAGAGGAGGAGGAGGGGAGGGGAGGAGGGGAGGAGGGGAGGAGAGGAGGAGAGGAGGAGGGGAGGAGGGTGAGCTAGGAGAGCTTGACCTGATAAATCTGCACGTCTTTCTAATTTAAAAAAAGAAAAAAAACATTTGTACCAACAAAAAAAACATCCAGTGAGGAGAAATATGTGGTGGTGTTTGTTTCTCTGATTCAATTGTGATCTAAAAAAAGTGAGAATGTAAAACTCGGGGTCAGAGAAGAGCTCCGTCCTGTGAAAGGACTGTTGTGTTGTCGTGACCATATCTCCTTTGGGCTTGTAAGATGTACAGTTCATGTGAAATAAATGCCCTTCTGTGCAACGTGTACATAACAGCATGACCCATGACTAGTTTTGCTTTAAGAAGAAAAAATAAAAGCAACTATTTTATTAAAGTTCTGTTTTTTAATGCATTTTTGAACAGTTTGATGCACATTAGAGTTTTGTATTGCACAGTAGAGTTCTATATTACACAGTAGAGTTCTATATTACACAGTATAGTTCTATATTACACAGTAGAGTTCTATATTAAACAGTAGAGTTCTATATTAAACAGTAGAGTTCTATGTTACACAGTAGAGTTCTATGTTACACAGTAGAGTTCTATATTACACAGTAGAGTTCTATATTACACAGTAGGGTTCTATATTACACAGTAGAGTTCTATATTACACAGTAGAGTTCTATATTAAACAGTAGAGTTCTATATTACACAGTAGAGTTCTATATTAAACAGTAGAGTTCTATATACACAGTAGAGTTCTATATTACACAGTAGAGTCTATATTAAACAGTAGAGTTCTATATTACACAGTAGAGTTCTATATTACACAGTAGAGTTCTATATTACACAGTAGAGTTCTATATTACACAGTAGAGTTCTATATTACACAGTAGAGTTCTATATTAAACAGTAGAGTTCTATATTACACAGTAGAGTTCTATATTATTAAACAGTAGAGTTCTATATTACACAGTAGAGTTCTATATTACACAGTAGAGTTCTATATTACACAGTAAAGTTCTATATTACACAGTAGAGTTCTATATTACACAGTAGAGTTCTATATTAAACAGTAGAGTTCTATATTAAACAGTAGAGTTCTATATTACACAGTATAGTTCTATATTACACAGTAGAGTTCTATATTACACAGTAGAGTTCTATATTACACAGTAGAGTTCTATATTACAAACTAAAGTTCTATACACAGTAGAGTACACTTTCCTCTTTGGTCAAAAGACAAATGAGTGGATGAGAGATCAGAAAAGGGCTGACTGTGTAAACACAGCCCTGGTGTATCAGGTCTGAATCAGTCTGTCACGAGTTACAAAGCCAGAACCCAGAAGCAGACCAGGACAAGGTAAGTTGAAACGAAGGTGAGTGTTTATTTAACAGATTCAAGAGTGATGCTGAATAATCCAGGGAACAGAGCGGGCGGCGTGGATGAGTTGTTGGGGGTGCAGTGGTAGATCCAATAATGGCTCGGCAGCCGCCGACCACCAGGCAGGGGTTGGGTGAAGGTTCCGGACGAGTGACTGCAGATGGAACAAAACGGAGGTAAGTACACAACAAACCAACAAGGTGCAAAACAACAAAACTAACGCTAGAAGCTCTAAGGCTGATACTCTGATAAACATACTGTTCATGGCTAACGATCCGGCAGGGAATGGATGTCAGGTCAGAGCCTAAAAAGGGTGATGATCAGGACCAGGTGTGCAGATTGCTGATGGGATGCAGGTGCGGTAAATCATGAGAGCTCCCGCCTAGCAACGTCGCCCGGCAACCAGGCAGGGAGCGTTCCAGAACCCTCGGGAAACAGGAGATCCCGAACAGAAAAACTGACAACACAAACAGGAACCGACTCAGGATGCAGGGTTCGTTACAGTACCCCCCCTCCGACGAACGCCACCGGGCGGACTCCCCGGAGCGCCAGGATGGAGGCGGTAGAAGTCACGAAGGAGGTCAGCATCAAGGATCTGTCGCCGCGGGAATCCAACTCCTCTCTTCAGGACCATACCCCTCCCAGTCCACGAGATACTGGAAACCCCGGCCCCGCCGTCTGGAATCCATAATGCGTCGCACCGTGTAGGCAGGACCACCTCCGATCATCCGAGGAGGAGGAGGAGGAGGCGGGAGGAGGCAACAGAGGACTGAGGAGAACAGGCTTGAGGCAGGAGACGTGAAAGGTGGGATGGACTCTGAGCGTTCTCGGTAACTTGAGTCGAACTGCAACCGGATTGATCACCTTCTCCACCACAAACGGACCAATGAACTTCGGTGACAACTTCCTAGACTCAGTCCGTAAAGGAAGATCCCGTGTGGCCAACCAGACCCTATCTCCGATGGTATAGGTAGGAGCGGGAATCCGGCGACGATTCGCCTGGAGCTGATACCGGTCAGAAACTCTAAGGAGTGCCTTTCTGGCCCGATGCCAGGTCCGGTGGCAACGACGAATGTAAGCCTGAACAGAGGGCACTGAGAGATCCTTCTCCTGAGAAGGAAACAAGGGAGGTTGGTAGCCATACAGGCACTGGAAGGGAGACATCCCAGTGGCAGAGGTAGGGAGAGTATTGTGGGCATACTCAACCCAAGGCAACTGAGAGACCCAGGAGGTGGGGTTGGAGGAGACAAGGCAGCGTAGCGTGGATTCCATCTTCTGGTTGGCTCTCTCCGCCTGACCATTAGATTGGGGGTGAAAACCAGATGTGAGACTGACTGTAGCTCCAATGGCCAAACAGAAGGACTTCCAGACAGCAGAGGTAAACTGAGGACCACGGTCGGGAAACGATATCACTGGGCAACCCGTGGACCCTGAAAACCTCCCTAACCAGGATCTCGGACGTCTCAGAGGCAGAGGGAAGCTTGGAAATGGGCACAAAGTGGGCGAAC